CAGCCTCAGGCAGCGGTGCGCTGCCGAATGTCTAACCACCGGCTCTCGGGGGACTGTCTTGTAGTGTCACTTCCGGGTGTACATACTCCCACCCTGGCCGATTTCGAGCCACAGGGTCACAGCGCTCAAGCGGGAGCTGCGAAGAGGCGCGTGATCAGCAGGGCTATGCCAGTTCCAAGACGTAAGCCCCTCTCCCCACGGAGCTCTGAGCCAGACTGCCCCCAGGGCCCAACCATTCGGCCTGAGCCTTGCTCCCAGCCTCACCCGCCACCTGCAGCATCTTCCACTGCGGCTCTAGCTGCCCCCGCAGGTGCATCAGGGCCTGCGTGTCCTCTGGGGAGGCCACGCATAAGGGGCCCAGGCTGGGGGGTGCCTCCCCGTGCAGCACCTGGGCCAGGACGCCTGCCAGCTGGGGTGTGGATTCCTGGCCAAGGGCAGAGAGGAAAGCCGTGAGTCACTGGCCTCTCCCGGATTCCCACCCCACAGCACATCTGCCTGCTCAACTCACCTCATCCACAAGGGCCAAGACTCGGCACCCTGCTGGGGCCCGCAACAGTGAGGCCAGGAGCGCAGCCTGGGGGTCCCGCAGGCCATGGTCCGGCCCCAGTGCCAGCAGCACCAGGTCAGGCCGGAAGCTATAGGCCAGGGGCAGCACCAGGGCCAGGAGGAAGTTCAGGAACCCGCCAGCTGTCTGTGGAGGGACGGGCGGCATGACCCCATCCCCTCATCCAGGGGACCAGGGGACACCCCTCCTGCCATCAGGATGCCGGGAAGGGTAGGTGAAGGCCAGGGGCCTGGCCCTTATGATGATACAGTCAGCAGCCACTGCCTGGCCCCGTGACACCACCACTTACCCCGGGCAGTGGCATGGAGACGTGGAACATGGACAGGGCGGCTGCCTCCTTGCCCCTGATGTTCAGCCACAGGTTCCTCCTTTCAGGAGAGAGTGGTCACACGGACACGTGTGTGTGTGAGCGAGACGCCACTCACGCTCCAGAGCCAGGACGCCAGAAGGTGAGGCGCAGGAGAGTTCAGGGATAGGGGTGCTGGAAGTGCTGACCCTCTGTGCTGGAGACCCTCCTGGCCTTGCTCCCTGGGCCCCCGGGGCCACCCAGCCATCTCTCCTGGGGACCCACAGTGACACACCCACACCCATGCAGGAACCCAAGGGGCATACCCATCATCTGCCAGGTCCGATGGCCGATCCAGCTGTCCCACGGCCACACAGAGAAGCCTAGAGAAGGAGGTGGTCCCAGGACAGGCTGTACTCACCCCACTAGCAGCCCATCCCAGAGCCCTCCCACTGTGGCAGCCAGGGCGGGGGTGCCCATGGGCCACGCCCTCAGAGACTCGGGCCAGCCAGCGGAGGCTCTCACCTCTGAGCTCCCCGGGAAAGGCCCCACCGAATGGCCACATCCAGAGTGGCAACTGCAGCAGAGGCCGGGGTGGCTGCGATGCCGCTGCTCACCTGCGGGGTGAACGACAGCAGTGGAGGGCAACCCCCAACCAGGCAGACAGACCCATCCGGCCCTTCCCTTGGTCCCGGTCTCCGTGGCTGTCGTCTATACACGCTGAGGTCAAATTGCTCCACTTCTGGAAATAAGGTGCTTAAAACTGCACTTGAAATCACCGCCTTCCCCTCTCTGCCAAAGAGCACTGAGTGGAGGGGACTGAGGAGCACCTGTCACCCTGTCCCTAGGGGGCTCTTCTGGGAAGGGTCCTGGGCACAAGGCAACACTCATATACACATGGTTCTGCACCCCCCTAGCCCTCGGGCCCCTCCCCCCGGTCCCTGGCCCTGCCCACCCCAGCCCCTCCAGGCGCCCCCACCTGCCCATCCAAGATCCTATCCAAAAGGTTCAGGACCTTCCCAAGTGCACTGGCAGCCTCGTCCTCGGCCAGGGCCTCGTGTAGGCTGCGGTAGAAAAGCCGAGGGACACAGACACAGGGTGACACAGATCACAGGTGAGTCACACCAGGGTGCACGGCGGACACAGCCTCACCCCCTCCCCAGGCCCACGCTGCCCACCTGGCCCAGGACTGCGTCTCCTCCTTCAGGGCTGACCCCTCCTGATGGGGGACTTCAGGGGGCAGGGCCAGAGCAGCGTCCTGCGAAGTCAGAGCTACAGCCGCGCGGACAGGGGGCATGGGGCGGAGGTGCAGCTGGTCCAGGAGGGAGCTCAGGGCCACCGCAGCCTTGAATTCGGGCCCCTCAGACAGCAGAGGCGAGGGCCTCCCCTCTGGGGAGCGGGTGCTGGGGCTGAGGACGGGGGCCGAGTCTAGGGGGCAGGTCAGAGTCACAGGCACTTCGTGAAAGCCCGAGGCCCTATCCCACCACCCGGCCCAGGCCACACTGACCTTCATGCTGCTGGAGGCTCGTCCAGTGAGGGACCTGGGCTGCCCGGACACTCCGGATGGACTCCAGGGCGCTGCAGGGAGAGACAGGAGTGGTGAGGCCTGGCCTTGCACCCCCAGCCTTCCCCGCCTGCAGCCCCTCGCACCTGCGACGCGGCACCATGGGCCCTGGCAGGGGCGGGGCGGGGGCCCCCAGCAGACCCCCAGCAGGGCCTGCACGGTCATGCACACGGACTCGGACAGCGACTCTAGGTTGTAACCGCCCTGGGAGGAGAGAGGAGGGCAGAGGTGTCACTGGGGCAGAAGGCCCCTCCGACTGCACCTCGGCCTCCGGTCCCTGGACCCACCCTGCTCCGCACAGTCACCTCCAGCATGGTGCAGACCCGGCCGCCGGCCAGCACCCGCAGCAGCTGCGTGAGGTGGGCAAAGCACTCTGGCGTGGCCTGCATCTGCCCCTGGAACCAGAGCCAGGTATGATGGGGGCCTGGCCACCGGGCACCAGAAGCCCTCCAGGTCAGGCCAGGCCCTCACCTCGGGGTCCCCGATCGCTGAGTCAAATCCTGCCGAGACCAGCACCAGCTCAGGATCAAACTGCAGGCAGAGCCGGGTGGGGAGGGAGTGAAGGGAGGCCCATCAGAAAAACCCTCCCCCCACAGGACCTGTTCTTCTCTGATGGAGTCGGGGGGACCCCCCCCATAGTCACCTCAAAAGCCAGGGGGAGCAGCACGTGCAGGAAGGCGGCCAGGTAGTCAGCATTTCCCATCCCCACCTGCAGCCACGGGTGTCAGAGTTGGGCCCAGCAAGGGCGAGCTGTGGGGTCTTCACCCCTCATGCCTGGCTCTGGGGGTGACCCTGGGAGCACACCCTGAACTACACTCAGGAGGCCCAGAGCTATAGGGCTGGGGATCTGGG